GCTGCAGGTTTCTCAACACGAAGGTCAGGAGAACATGGAAGAAACATCCTCAAGCCCTTTAAAAAAGTAACTTTCAACCCAGATTAATGTATCTTGCAAAAGTATCTTCCAAACTAAGAGAAAAATTAATACTTTCCACAACAAGCAGAAACTTAAAGAAATTCATGACCACCAAATCAGCACTATTAAAAAACATATATGTATGTATATCACAGACACAAACAAAAAAGACATCAATGTCAGCCAATAACAAGCAGAGTGAGCAGTTAAATAAAAGAAGAAATAAAGGAATTAGCAACAGAGAAATAATCCAGTGAGAGGAATAAGCCCACACCTTTCACTAATTTTTCTCTAGGTAAGTAGTTTCAACTAGCTAATCAAGAGACATAGATCAGCAGAATTCATTAAAAACAAAAACCCAGAACTGGGGATTGAGCTCAGCAGCATAAGCACCCACTAGCAAGTACAAGGTCATGAGTTTCAGTTCCAGTACAAAAAAAAAAAATCACCAAACCCAAAAATGTGTTACATTCAAAAACACGTTTATATTTAAAGAAAACCATACAAAAAATTCAAAAGACAGAAGTCATTTTCATGTAACAGGAGCCCAAAAGCAAACAATAGTAGCTATAAATATTTTCAAACAAAGTAGACTTCAACCCAAAATTGATCAGAGGAGACAAAGATGGTCACCACATACTGGTATAGAGAACACTTCAACAGGAAGAAATAACGATTAGATGTACCTTGAAACCATAATACTTAGTGAAATTGATCAGAGACAGAAGAAATTCAAACAGATCTCAAAGAGTACAATAAAATATAGACAATACAAAACAAAGAGATAAATCTTTTGCAGATTGGCAGAATACTGGAGATAAAGGGAGAGGGAGGAAAAGGAGGAGAAAAGAGACGAAAAGAATTAAGATGTGATATGTATGTGTATCAATAGGTGTAACCAACATGCACTAATAAAAAAAACTTTAATTTTTAAAAAATGTTCAGTAATCACTAGCGGTTCACTCGTGTAATCCAACACTCTGAGGGGCTGAGATTGGAGGAATATAAATTCAAGTCCAGTCTCAGCAATGTGACAATTTAACAAGATCCTGTCTCAGAACAAGAAATTTTGAAAGGTGTGAAGTTCAGTGCAAAGACAATGGGTTCAATCCTAGCCTTGAAAAAAAAAAAAAAAAAAGCATGACTAGATGTGTACGTGCACACACATACTTGTATATTGTACATAATGAGTTTTGAGAGCATTTTATGTTTCAGATGCAAATCTTTTGCCGGGCTTATGGTTCGCTAATGTTTTCTCCCAGTCAGTTGCTTGTCTTTTTGACCTTTTAACAGTCTTTAAGAATGTAGAGTGTTGTGGAGCACACCTGTGGGCCCCTGCCCCGCCAAAACAAAACCAAACAAAACAAAACAAAAAACAAGCTTTAATAGAGCCAACCTTTTCCATTTGATGAAATTCAGATAATCCTTTTTCTAAATCAGGTTTTGATAACACATCTAAGAATCATTCATCAATCTCTTCATCACAAAGATTTTTTTCCTATGTTTTACTTTTAAAGTTTCATTGTTTTTAACTTTTACATTTAAATAACTGGTCCATTTTGAGTTAGTTTTTGTATACTATGGGAAACTTAGGTTAAAGTTCATTTTGTTGTTGTTCATGGATATCCAAATACTCCAGCACCAGTTCTTGAAGATTTCACTTCCTCTCTTTTGGATTGCTTTTGTAGCTTTATCAAAGATCTGTTGGCTATTATACTTATGCCAGTCTGTATCTGCTTTCTATTCTGTTCCTTTGATCATATAGCTATGATCTGCCAGTACCACACAGTCTTAATTACTATAGCTAATTAATCATGTCCAGGTAGTGTGATTTATCCAAAATGTGTTCTTTTTCTAGACTGTTTTAATTATTCTCGCTTCTTTGTCTTATCTTAAAAAATTATCCTGTCCAGAGATACAAAAATATCTTCTTGGCACACTAAAGACTTATACTAAACCTTTATAATAATTTATTGAGGTTTGACAAGTTTCTGATGTTGAATCCTTCAACCAGGCAAATGGTACTTTCAACTTACTAAATATTCTTTAGTTTCTTTCGTCAGTGTTTTGCAGTTTTGTACAAATTCTATATATGTTTTATTAGAGTTATATCTAAGTATTTATTTTTAGCAATTGTGACTCATACTGTAAACTTAAAAAGTTTACTTTCTATGTGGTCATTACTACTATAAAAAAATAAAATCATCTTCTAATCTGTGACTGAGCTGAACTCACTTGTTGATGCCAGGAAGTTTTTCATAGATTTCTTGAGATTTTCTATGAAAGAATTATGTTGTCTGCAAATAGCAACCATTTTATTTTTGTCTTTCTTAACTCAATGCCTTTTATCTCTTTTTTTCTTCTTTGAGTTGGCTAAAACTATTATTACGCTGAATACAATTGGTGTAAACAGACATCCTTGTCTTAGTTCTGATCTTCCTGGAAAGCATCCCGTCTCTAACCATTAAATAAAATGTTAGCTTGGAATTTGTGTGGAAGCCAAGGAAGTTGCACTCTGTTCTCAGTTCTAAGAGGGTTTATTATGTTCTATTAGGATTTTTGAGGATTTTGAACTTTGTGAAATGTTTTTCCATATCTTTGAATATGATCGTATCATTTACTATGATACATTACACTGATTTTTAATTATAAAACCAGCTTTATATCCATTGAACATAATCTACATGGTCATGCGATCTAATTATCTAATATTGCTTAATTTTATTTATTAACCCTTTGTTAAGGTTTTTTGTATGTTTATTCACAATTTTTTCAATTTTCCTCTTACTATGATTATTATTTGTTTCATTAAGAGAAGCCAATCTCATAAGTTGATAAGTGTTCTTGTTTCTTACACTGTCTGAAAGAGTTTATGGAGATTTTATTTTTATCCATAGTAGTGTTCTGTTTTTTGCTTTTTTGAGGCAGGGTCTCACTATGTAGCCCAGGCTGGCCTCCAACTCATGGCGATCCTCCTGCCTCAGCCTCACCAAGTGCTGGATTAAAGGTGTGAGCCATCACACCCAACTATCCATGCTTTATGTTTTCTAAATAAAATATAAATCAAAGAGAGCCAATTTCCTACATAAGCTTGCTTTCTTATTGGAATTTTGCTAAATCATTCCCTATATTTATCAATATACTTAAAGTATTCCATTACTTAAAAATAAAAATATTTTAAAAACTAGAAGGTGCAAATAATAGCACAAAGCACAAAGTTATCTGAACAAAATATCCATCAATTTATATTAAAGAATAAAAAATTGCATTTCTTTCCCTGATATTTTTAGAAATTTAGTTCAGTGTTTCCAACTCTGAAAATAACAAAGATAGGAAAGTTAGCAATATTTTAATTTTACAGAAGTTATAATTTGTGACCATGGTGAATTAAGCATATCTCCAAGTTCTTTGACAGTCTCCAACGGGAGATGGAACCTTTTGCTTTTCTGCTCAAATCTGAGCTGGCCTTCTGCTTGTTTTAGCCAACTGTATCACACAAATGATGCCATGCAATTTCTGACACTGAGCTTAACAAGTGGTTTTTTCCTGTTGGAACACCCCTACTTGGATTCTAGCTGCCGTCTTATGAGGAAGTGAAGGCAACCACACGTAAGGCCCATATGGAAGAGAACAGAGGTCTCTGCGCAACGGTGGCTGAGTCCCAGCTCAGCCAGAAGCAAACTTCCAGCCATGTTAGTGAGGCCTTTTTTAACTTTCTGCTATTTTAGTGCTCCAACTAACTTCACTTTATGTGGAACTCACCAGTCAACCTACAGAATCATGATAACTTACTATTTTAAAGTACTAAACCTCGAGGCAGGTTATTATACAGCAACCCATGACTAAAATGCAGGCTCAGAAAAGTTTGTGGTCCAATTTTAAGATCATTATCTATTTAATGGAAATTAAGAATAAATCACTAAGCTCTAGATTACTAGTCCAATGGATTTTTTTTCTCCATAAGATGCTGTATTTCTTTTTAAATTAGTGTACACTAATACTAAAATCCCAGACCTCAAAAAACTATACTTCCACAGCTGGGAGTGGTGATGCATGCCTGAAATCCCAGCGCTTGGGAGGCTGAGATAGGAGGGTTGCTGGAAGTTCAAGGAAAGCTTGGAGTACACAGTGGGTTAAAAGCCTGAAGTACATAACTACACAGCAAGGCCTTGTCTAAAAAATTATATATATACTGTTGCTGCAGTCAGAGAGAATAGCAAACACATATATCTATTCCTATTTATATTTACATATGAGGAATGATGTAATATAAAGCTAAATGGAAAGACCAGCTATATGTGGTCAGTTGTTTTAACTTGTACCTCAATAAGTTCACTATAGTTCTTTTCCTAGGAGATTAATGATTACTTGAGAGAAGCTTCTTATACAAGAGTAGTCATATTTTATTCATTTCCTCTTCAGATCTCTCCCAATAGAAATTTTTTTCTTCCCCAACAATAGCAAACTTCAAATTACATAAGGTAGAGTTGTGAATAAAACAAGTTTTAACTCAGTACCATCATACACAACAATCCCAATTTTAGGGCATGCTTTTGGATTAGATAATGAGTAAGATCCTTATTTCCAGTTATTCTTCTCATGTTTATAAAACAGTCAATCATAACTTGGAGACACCAGGCTTTAGTCTAGTTCTACTTGTCTCCTAGGAAATTTCAACACAGGCAAACTCCTCAAACTAACTAAATAACATTAGGAGATTACAGCAATAGAGAGCCAGTCAAAACCATCATATGTACACATTTTATATCCCTATTGCCAGTGTTGTGAAAAATGACACTCGGATCTGATCCTTGTAGTCCACTGTCTCTTCTACCCAGAAAGATACAATATAGATTCACTTTACCATTTATTCTGACCAGAAAGAACATGAAGATATTACGTTTCTCCTTTTTATTCTATCTGCGAGTTTCACCACTCACTGGCTGTCCTGGCTCCCCAACTCCGGTGGGTCCTGGAGCCCCTGTTCGTCCTTCTTGGCCTCGTTCTCCCTGAAAAAGAAACAGTAGAGTATGAGTTTTTAAATGAAGCATAAACACCACAAAATACTCTGGAGATCTCAACAAGGGTAGGTCACAAAACTTTTCATATCTATATATGTTAAAATAATTCTAGAGGAGGAAGCATTACTTGAAGAAATAACCATAAAATATTCATCATCTCTACTTGTCTGAGTGCAACACAGCCCTTTCGGCCTTCCTAAGCTCTCCTGTAGTCCTGGCAGCATGCACTGTGCGGCAGTTCGTTTACATCCTGAGCAGGCAGGCTAACAGCATTTGTGCTATTCCCTGCCACACTGTAGAGTGCCACTCTTTCCTCCCCGCTTCCTGTCATATCTCACCTCTGTTTTATTCTCCTATACTCAATCTTCTTCAAACCCTTTTACAGTGAATCTGCCTATATGAACTACACCTTCCTCAGATTCTCTCAGTGCACTCATCATAGAAATGCTACTTGTTCAAGGCACTGTTCTGTACAGTTCTGTATTTTTGTCCTGCTTCAAAGTCTTACTATCCCAACCACAGAGAAGAGCCATTTAAAACAAGCACTCCTACTCTTTCATATATTGCATGATGCAGGGTACCCCACTAGGGATTTTGCCTAACTTTGTAGCGCCACACAACCCATTCTGTCAACATCTACTTATTCTGTGCCACTGTCCCTCTGGTTTCTACCCCTCCATGCTTATTTAAGGCAAGCCAGCGGGAGCTGATGTGTTAAGGTGTTTCACTTCCCAGGAACATGTTTGCCTGTTAATATTTAGAGCCCATGAATCTCAACAGGACTACATGTACATTTTGAAAGAGTAGATACTCAGAGACAAGCAAATTTTTCCATCCCAACCAAATAAAAAACAACAGTTTGATTATTCTTATGGTAACTGCCCCTGACTAACATATTACAGCATCTGAGCATATTGAATGAAAGTAATTTCTGCTGAAAGTTCCCTGTTTTTATTACAGTTATGTTGAACAGAGTTCAAGTCACAGTTCCCAGCCCCTAAGGTAAATTCAACAGTCACCAGTGGACAGAGACACAAACATTTTTACCTTAATACCTTGCTGTCCAATACCAGGGGTTCCTGGAGGACCATAAGGACCAGGAGGACCTGGATCACCCTAGAGGAAGAAATAGAGATAAGTTTGGTCAGGTCAATAGCACTTGTTGGTAGGTAAATGAATGCAACTAGAGACCACACTCAAGATAAATAAATCAGACTTATGTATAAGTATCACAATAAATGTATAAGTATCGCAATAAATCAGACTTATGTATAAGTATCACAATAAATGTATAAGTATCGCAATAAATCAGACTTATGTATAAGTATCACATTGTCTCTCTAGTATGAGGAACAGTTAAAGTACATAAGGTCCAAAACATACAATAGATATTGTGAAATGGGGAAAAAAGACTATTCAAAAGGAAAAAGGAACTAGGATGGGGGAATGGGGAAAGCAAGGAAGGGAAAAAGAAAAAAAATACAAAATAGATGTACTAACTTATTATTAGTTCATTGAAAAGAAAGGTTTGTGCTAATATTATTTGGAGAATTTTATATGCCCATATCTTGTACACTGATTAACTACTTTAAAAAAATACTCACTGTATTTTTGCAAAGAATTTTTTTATTTAGAGAAAAAAAAGCAAAAGAAAAAAAGGTAGAAATAATATAGAATGTCAAAAAATAGTAAGAAATCACTAGTTGATAACTTACATATTGTTATCTTAGAATTAGTTGCCCAAGCCACAGAATCAAAGTAGACAGTCAAACAATGACAGCACAAACTATTCTGCTTGATGAACTAACAAAAACTTACTAGAATGGTTATCTATCGTGCACACTTAAACATATGGTTATATACTTTTGAGCATTTTCCCTTCATTATCACAATATCTGTTATACATTTTGGATCTTATTACTCTTTCAGTTTTATTATGTACACCCATGTTTATAGCAGCACAATTTGTAATAGCTAAATCTTGGCAACAACCAAAGTGCCCATCAAACACAGGATGGACGAAAAAGATGTGATATTTTTATGCAATGGAATACTACTCAACTATAAAAAGGACGATCTTGTGGTTTTTATAAGTAAATGGAGGCAATTTGAGATTACCCTCATATGTGAAATAAATGACTCACATTTGTAAATATCATATTGTCTCTCTAGTATAAAAAATAATAAAAACTGAAAGGGTAATAAGAACCAAAATGTATAATAGATATTCTAGTAATGAGAGGGAAAGAAAGTGCTTGATGGATTAACTATTATTATTCTCCTGTAATTTTGTTATGAAATTTTGCTTTACTTTTTTCCATAAAATAAAAGATTTTTAAAATAAATAAACAAAAAATAGTACTTGTGAGCTGCTCTTCTATGCATAGTGGCTGCAGTAAGGGCTTGAAGTGTGACAGAAAGCTTAATTCATGGTCCCTGATCTCATCTTTCTACAATCCAACTGGAAAGACAGCATAGACTCAGGGTCAGACTATCTACTAGACACAACAAGTACGGAGTCTGGAATCTGCAAACTTTTAGGAGTCCATCAAAATACTTTCATTTTAATTTTTAAAACCAGAAAAAATAATAACAGTGAATATATAATAACAAATCTAGCTTTGATTGTATTGTCTTTATATCAACTCAGTCATATAATGTTTTCCGACAATGTATATGGAAGAAGACACCCACAAATGCAAACACTTTAGGAACTCTGAAAGTTATAATGCAACCCACATTCATTCATCCAACAAATCTTCTTTGTTGATATCCTGACAGACTGTTTTATTTTATTTTTTGTTTGTTTGTTTGTTTGTACTGGAAATTAAACTCACGACCCTGCACTTGCCAGGCACGTGCTGCACCGCTGAGGTATATCCCCTGCCAGATGAATTTTATTTCTTCCACAATGGCTATTTTTCCCTCTAATCTTCCTTGCTGATAGCATCTTGTTCAGATCAATGACAGCTATCTTGACTCCCAGAAGTATAAGATACATAGCAATTATACTACTAACGTAAGATTGAGATCTCCTTTCCCACTGCCACTAATTAGTCTAGGTTGGTCATGTGACAGTTTAACAAATGAGATGACAGAGACCTTATTGTACATACAGGAAAAGCCTCTTTTGTTTTGCAGGTTACCAGGAAAGTAACTAAGATAAATTCTTATTGGCGCATGGTGGTATATGTCTGTAATCCCAGTACTCCTGGAGGCTGAATCAGGAGGATTATAAATTGGAGCCCATCAGGGGGAGTAACTTAGTGATGCTATGTCAAAATAAAAGACTTCAAAAGGGCTGGAGATGTAGGCCAGCAGAAAGGCCCTGAGTTAAATCCCCAGTACTGTCAAAATAATCATCATAGTAATAATGCCCTAAATAGCAATTTCAGCAGATGGACAATTTTGTCCTGTAATAGGTAAGAAGATGTTTAAATATATTTGACAGGCAATTCAAAGATTTTTTTAAGTAGTGGAAGTTCTTCCCTGCTTGACACTTGACTATGTTTTTGGTCAGGAATCAACACTTGAGTCTGTTTTTGGTCAGGAATCAACAACACATACTGGTAATAGTTTCTTCATACTGCTGACAGAGAATTGGTTTAGTTGTTACCTTGAAATATTTGAATTGGGAGAATCAAGAGGAGAAGCAACTATCTGGCATTCATAAGCTGCCTCTAACCTTAGTCAAGTGCCAGTAGAAACTGAGAAATTTTTTAGTATTAAAATTTCAAGATTACAGGGATCTGAAGATTGTAGAGTGATTGATTTTCCTTATCTGACCACAGTTCCTGTACAATATATCTTCACATTTCACTTGCTTAAATTCATTTCTCAAAAGCCTAGCATCTTGACATGTGACCTGCACACAAATATCAGACTATAATTCATATTTATTCCACTGTAGTTTCTCACAAGTATTCCCGAAGTGGTGAAGAAAGAGGTCTTCATTATAAAATATTGTATTTCAGTAATAGACAGCAGGGAGAGGAATGCATCAAGACAACACAACCAAGGTAATGCTTGCTAGCTTTCCTGTTATTATCCTTGCCCCAGCTCCATTACCAACACATAGAGAGAGAGAGAGACAGACAGAGACAGAGAGACAGAGACAGAGACAGAGAGAGACAGAGAGGCTGCCTTCCTGCATTACTTTCTTTGACTATGAGAGCCTTTAACCAATAAGTGAGAATAGCAGAAAAATATTGGTAAAATGCATTATCCCAGAGAGAATTTTCCTTGTGACTTCCATGTGAGCCTGGATATATATGAGTATGAGCATGTGAGAGGACAATGAGGAGGTTACAGAGACTACCTTGCTCCTCCCCAAAGTAAGAACACCCCAGCTTTCATGAGCCTCAAGAGCAAAATAAGTCAGTGTTTAATGAAACGTGCTATTTACAAGCATTACCTGGATACTATCCATGCAGATATATATATGAGCTACTATACATTTATACATAATGTATGTAATATATTATATACTATACATACATGTTATATACCAGACACATAGACCATGTTCATATATTATCTCATTTAACCTTATAACAATTCCAGAAAGGATTTGGTTATACTTTATATTGTGGATATACAATCTTCATTTTTAAATCCACTTTTCAGCATTCATAGAATTACAAAGGCAATAAATCTGGCCACAGAGCTTTACAGTCTAATGGAGTCTCGGTTCTATTACTTTGAATAATTTGAGCTTTTACAAGATTCCAAAATGCAGGGTAATCAATCTATCTTGCAGGGTTGAGAGGTTCAAGATACTATCTGTGAAATATCTGAGTCATAACCAGTCACACAGTAGCTATTTAATATGCATAGACTTGGTTGTTATTCACCAGGTCTTTACTGACCAACCTCAGGTCTAGCAAAGAATAATCCATGCATATAATTGATTATCAGTTTTCCACAATTAGAGTTATAAATCAGATTTCACTGTACTTGCATAAGCCTACACTCTCTCTGGAAAGACAAATGAATATGAAACAATACACAAGCCTGGGAATTAGCTAGTAATAAAAGCATTAACAGAACAAGTAAGATTCTGAGGCAGGTATGCTTAATTCTACCTCAAGGAATTGGAAAAGTTTCATATAGTATAGGGGTAATTTGAGCTGAACAAAAAAGTAAGAATCATACTTAATCTGAGAAAGAGAAAAGGAATAAACTTTCAATGAGAGAAAAGAACATGAGACATAAAATGATATGAAATATTCTGGCAACTAAGCAAATTGCTGGGCCCAAGGAACTAGCAGTGAAGAGACAGTAGGCCCAATCTCTGGAGCAGCAGTGCTCAGTGGAAATACACAATGAACTGCCATGGTTTATGTCTGTGACCCCCAGGCCTCAGGAGTTTGAATTGTGCATTTGTTATTCGTTCATCATCTAGTGCTTGGATTGATGGTGTCAGTGCTCCACCCACAAAGGGGTGGAGCCAGGATGTGATGTAATGGCAGGAAGAAGGTGTGTCTTGCTCTTTGCTGGTTTCTGCTTGCTGTTGGCAGCCGCCATGAACTGCGGCCCAGCCATGCCTGCCTGCCTTGGAGCCAATTGAGTGTGGACTGAAACCTCCAAAAACTGTAAGAAATAAACCTTTCCTTTCCCAACTTGGGCTTCAGGTATTTTGTCTCAGCAACGAGTAAAAAGTAACTAAGACATGAGCCATACATACATTTTTATATTTTCTAACCACATTAAGCAGGTAAAAAAGAAAAAGCTAACATGTATTTATTGATATATCCAAAATACTATCATTTCAACACATAATCAATATTTTTAAGTACTAATGATCATATTTTTTCACTCTTTTTCATACCAACTCTTTGGAAACCAATATATGTCTTGAACTTATAGCAATTTCAGTTTGGATGAGCTACATATCCTGTGTTCAACAGTAACATGTGGAAACTGTATTTCACAGCTCGGCTTCAGATTAGACTTTGGAGCCTTAGGTCAGAACCATGGACAGTACCAATATTAACAGAATGAAAGTGGAAGCTGTGATACCATAGTGCAAGAAACTGAGTGAAGAGAATCTCAAAAGGAACCAGTCATTTCTAAAGACAGCTCATTATCTTTCCCTCCCAGACCTGGTCATCGCT